GGATCCATAGTCTTTGGCCATGCCACCCTGAACAAGCCCGACGTCTGATCTTGGAAGCTAAGCAGGGTAGGGCCTGGTTAGTACTTGGATGGGAGACCACCTAGGAAGTCCAGGTGCTGTAGGCATAAGTAATAATTTAAAAAATAATAATAAAAAACAAAACCAATGAGGTTGTGGGGGGGACCCAAGATGAAATATAAACAATCAGTGAAACTAACTGCATCCCAAATGAATAATATAACCATACTGATAGGAGTGTAGATAAAAAGAAAAGAACTAACCTACGTAATCTTAACTAGATTACAGTATTTGTGTTCTTTTTTTCTTTGGCATTATAGGATCCAGTTAATGCCAAAGACAAAAAGAACTATAATGCCAAAGACAAATACTATAATCTAGTTAAGTGCATGTGTTTCCCACAGAGATACAGGTTAGGAATTCTGATATTACTTTATAGATATACTAGGATTGAACAAGGAAGTAAATATATTGTGGACAATGAGAGCAGGGTTAATCACTGTAGGAGAAAGAACTTACAAACAAGGGGGAAAGCTAAAATGAACCTCTTGGTGCTGGATTGTAATTAGAGGTAACAGTATCAATTCATATTTTTCATTAGCTAGCTAGCTAGGTGGTAGATGATAGGTAGGTAGGTAGATAGATAGATAGATAGATAGATAGATAGATAGATAGATAGATAGATATAGATAGATATGTGGTTATATGTAGGAGTTGGTATAAATAGATATATTTTTTAGCTCTGTCCACTGAGAGAGACTTAGGAGCAGTGAGACATCAATAGCACCTAGGTTTTGGTTTCTGAGTGAGGGGGACCAAAGTTTTGCCACCCTAAAACTGCCTTTTGGGATATTGATCTTAAGCTGGTTATTAAGACAAAAAAGACTCAGAACCTTTGACCCTCCCTCTTTTCTGCCTAAGAGATTCAAATGGAAAGCTTGCTCTAGGAAGGAAATTTTAGGATATTCATCTCAGCCTAATTTGAAATGAGTATGACGGATGGGAGGGCTCTAGGCAGGGGCTTGGTAGCTGGATCACCCGTTCCATTGTTTCTGGGTTGCCTAGCAAAAATTGACCTGCCATATATGTTCTGCTCTTCCTCAACTACCGTAAATTGCCAATTTCCTTTAAAATCTCAGGCCCCGGACCCCCTTTCTTCTGTGTCTAAAATGTCATGTATACTCCATTTTATCTCACAGTCTTGGGGAATTTTCTTGCTTGTGTGAATTCCCTGTTAGCACATATTAAAAATATGATTTTCTCTTGTTAATCTGTTTCTGTTAATTTGATTATTAGCCCAGCTAGAAACTGAGAAGGAGGGAGGAAAAGTTTCATATATATTTTTTTAGCCCCCACATAAGCGTCATTTTCCAATAAAAGGAGCCAGGGCTTCTTGGAGAAATAGTTGACTGTGGGACCGAGGCAGAGAAAATACGAAATAAACCTGGAATATCTTGTAATGCCAGGAAGTAAGAAAGTGCTTTAAAAAGGATGGGGGCATGTTGAAAGGACAGAGTCAACCTGAAGGAGCTTCCAATGGCCAAAGTTGGAACAATTTTAGCAATAAAATAATGCTGGTATTGAATTATAATCCATATAATAAATTAAATATCCATTAAAATTCCGATATAAATAATGAACGAACGAATGAATGAATGAGGGAGGGAGAGAGGAGGGCAGCTCATAGAAATCATTAAGTGAACACCATGAAAATAATTGTTGTAAGTAAGATTTGTGAGCAGGTGCTAAAGTTGAGGAGAAATATGATGTTTCCATAATCTCAAATGATCTCCTCTAAGATATTTATTAATTAGCAAGGGAAAAGCAGTAATTTTTCAATGAAAAACTCAGTACGCAGCACTTTATGATCAAGGTAAAGATTAATGGATGCATCGCCAGTATGTACCCCTTGATAAGATGAACCAAGAATGACACATCTCTTCTGTGAAATTCTTGCAAAATTGCATAACCTCATCCTAATCATGAGAAAACATTAGAGACACCCACACTTAAGGAGGTTATACAAAATGACTGGCAAAAGCATCAAGGTCATGAACGGTAAGGAGAGACCTGAAGGGACTGTCACAGGTTAGGAGAGACTCAATGACATAATGCAGTGTGGCATCATGGAAAAGCAAAAAGACATTGTGCTCTTTTTAATTTCCTGTTTTTGATAATCGTATTATAGTAAATATTAACATTAGGGGAAGCTGGATAAAACATACATGGGAGCACTCTATAGTAGTTTTGCAAAGTCTAAAATTATTTCAAAATTTAAAAATTTTTTAAAAAATTACTGACTTAGGGCAGTGGGCAGGGGACAAGTGTCCCAGGGCCTCTTCTCTCTACCCTACCCCATGTTCCAGCCCAGAGCACCCACATTTGTTTTCTTTTGTTCATGTCACAAGATGTCAGACCCTGAGATGATCAGCCCATCCTCAGAAAAGGCTCTGGTGCCAGAGAGAAGGAATTCTGACTGGAACGTTCTGGTGCCAGATCACCCTCACAGTCTGCTTTTTTGCACCTGCTCTTTATGGTCAGTTCTCCACATGGGCCCATAAAGTCTGCTAAAAACAGAAAACAACTCAAGTTACTCCCCGGATCAACATTCTCCAAGGGCTTCCCTTCTCACTTAGAATGAAATCCCAAAGCCAAAGTCTGTATCCATGCCCCAAGATCCCACGTGACCTGCTCCTGGCCACCTCTGCATTCGTCCCCTCAGCTCACTCTGCCTTAGCCACTGGGGCTTTCTTACTGTTCCTCCAACAAGCCAAGCACACTTCCTTTGCATTTGCTGTCCCTCTGCCTGAAAAGCTCTGTTCCCCAGTGACTGCCTGGCTGCCGCTTCCTCAGTCAGGTGTCTGCTCAGCGACACCTCCTCTGACAGGACTTGGGTGGCCACTCCCTCTCCCCTTAGCATACTTTTGTCTTCCTTTGTACCACTTTGTACAACCTGACATCATACTACACATGTAAAATCTGGTTTTTACTGATGGTGTGCCCCTTTGCCGTGGAGCATGCTTGCAGTAGTGTCCCTTCCTGGGCTGGCTCTGTGCCTGGCTCCTGGATGGCACTCAGCAACTCCTCTGAATTTCGTGTGTCTGTGTGTACACCTTTGTATGTGTGTGTACACCTATATGTGTGTAGGCATCTGTCGTAGAGGAAAGACACTTCCATGCCATGACCACTGCCTGCGCACTGCTGCACCTGCCAGCTAGCCCCAGGACAAAACAGAGATTGCTTCCCTTAAACCCCCTCAAAGACTGTCTGGTTGACCCCTCTCCTGTGCCCCACAGCCTGCTGACTTGTGGTGGTTCCTGGAACAGGATGTTGGCCCACCCAAAGAATCCCTCCCTGGTTCTGCCCAGGCTTGGAAGTCACACAGGCCTTCAAGGTCTTTACCGGCTTGGGAAGTCACCTGGCTCCTGGGACCGTCAGGTTTTTCCACTGGGGAAGAGTATTATGGCCTCTTTCTGGACAGGGGAAGAGTATTATGGCTTCTTCTGGACTGAAGCAGCAGCCCCTTACAGGTCAGCAGAGGGCCTGGCACATGGTAAGCCCAGGGAAAACTAGCTATTCTTCTAGCTGGTTGGAAAGCCTGCCTCATGCCTCACACACAACTCCCATGCATGTTAACCACTGCCTCTACCTCATTCATTCAATATCTATTCATACACTGTCTCTCAAAAGACCACTGGGTGTTGAGTAGGGTTGCCAGATTCAACTAATCAAAATATAGGTCACTGTGTTAAATATGAGTTTCAGCTAAACTATGAATTACTTTTTTAGTGTAATATGTCCTGAATAATACATACACTGTTGGGACATATTTATGCTAAAACATTATTTGTCATGTATCTGAAATTCAACTTTAACTGGGCACTGTTGTATCTGGCAAACCTAGTCTTGAAGTACAGCAACTGGGCACTGCCTCCAGTTGTCTGTGTCCACCTCCCCAGGGTACTTCCCACAGGACATGGCGTATAACTGAGTGATAAAAACTTCGATTTTGCATATGTGCTGGGTTTAGTCTTCAAGACATGGTCTCTATAGATACAAGCTTAATCGTTTACCTACCATGTTGAGTGACAACAAGGAAATGGTCACTAACAACATTTGATTGTCTAAAGTATGTGAAGAACTGCTTCAAATATTATAGGGCCTTGTCCCTAAAGAGTTTTGGTTTCATAATGGAAAAATAAGTTTCAGAAAAATGTCAGAATCAATGAGTTAATGAAGAGCCCTTTCAAAATTGTATATAGAATCTGATATCAACTTTTTAAATGTATGCATAGAAGAGAGAATGGAGGGAACACATCCACATATATTTGGATAATTATGGGTTGTTATAATATAGCTCCAATGTCATCAGCCTTACCAGCTCATGCAAGTGAATGGAGCCATGTTAACAAACACAATCAAAAGGCCTGGTTTTTACTGACGTGTTTACAGGGACTCCTGGCCCCTTGGCAGTGATCTGCACCAGGTGCTTCTGAGAGTTCCCAGCGGGGTGTTTTTCCAGTTGCTCCCAAACCAGTTTGCAAGCTCTAGTTGCCCCACAATGTGCCCTCCATTTCTAGTTCCCCCTCACTAGTTTCGGCCATCACATAGCTACTTGAGGACCCAGTGTCCTCACCAAGGCTGGTCTCTCCAGAAGTGATGCCAAAGCCAAAGTAAGCGATGCTCTGGGAGGATGCTCAGGGGGGCCGAAGGAGCTGGTTCTGTACAGAGGTAGGAAAGTGATTTTCCCCCAAATCCCTGCTCCCTCTGGTCCGTGGGTACCACACCTCCAAAAGACTCATGAATAGTTATCAGCACGTGGCTCTTAGCCTCTCATCACAGTGGCTCACGCCTTGCTCAGAAAGTCTGTGTCAGCACTAAATCTTGCATCAAAAAGCTTCAAACATTGCCATCATACTAATGACATTTTATATAAAAAAAGAAAAATTATAACAAAAACATATACATCATCCACATTGCAATTTTTTTCTCTAGAAACTTTAATTCCCAAATGGCTAGAACATAAATAGACACAAAGGACCACAGTGACCCGAAGAAAGCAAATGAGAGGAACTGACCTACTGGTGATTTTTATTCTAGAATCAGGTATGAGTTGAGAGCTTTGGCCCGCAGATTCTTCATTTCCTCCAGCACTTTTTCTCCTGCCTTCTCCATCGGTTGTGCTTGGTGTATTACCTCCCTAAATATCAAAACATCAGACACAGACACATCAGGCCTCTGCATAAAACATCTGAGTCACCCACCAACACCCTGCTGCTGGGCTCAGAGTCACCAGAGATACCTCAGTGAAGGTTTAAGGAGTTGTTTTATAAAATATTTAGTAACGATTTAGTTCCAGTGAAAACTCTTGGCTGTTAAGTAATTCAAACCGGTTTCCTAGCATGGCCATCACCTAAACTTTCAGTATCCATCGCCAGATATACAGATGGTGGTAATTCCCATCTCCCAGTGCTATTGCGAAGGTGAAATGAGAAATTATTCTTAGACATCCTAGCATGATGTCTTCTAAATGCTCAATTGGCAATAGTTGATTCTTCATGTCTATGACTGAAGAAGACCACAACGTTGCTGACTCTGCCAACGGCTCCAGAAGGGTGGGAACAAGGGGGAGGGTTATGTATCTGGATTGAGTAATGGCTGACGTGGAGTCCAGACTTGTACTGGGTGGGACTTTCCAAATATCTGGGAGGAAAAGACGAGTACATTGGTTCAAAGGGCAGATGTCTAAAGATTGTGAGCTCAGCTATATGATCTGCCTAGATTATAAAATCACATGATTCTGAAACATTTTCTAAAGAAAGTGAAATAGAAAGTTCTGACAAATGTCTGGCAGTTCTGCAAAAGCAGAAATACCTGAAAATAAGAGAATGAAAATGTTTCCTAATGCGTGTACTTAAAAAAAATTAATTGGCACCATTTTATAGAATCAATTTAAAAGTATATAGGCCATGTATCTCGTTAAAGATATTAGTGACTGAATGATATTGTGAAAATCTAAGGAGTGTTGAATGATGTGTCAGCAACTATAGTTACTCCGACAGTTTCTTTGACGTTTTACATGGTTCCCCTTAATGAGTCTTGGGAGAGCTGAGGTCACCACCAGGGTAGCAATCTCCCAGGTTAATCACGGTGATGGAGGGAGAGCAGATAGTTCTTTGCATCTATTAAAATATTGTTTGCCAGACTGAAAGGATAAGAAAACAAGACCCCTACACATGCTGCCTACAAGAGACTCACTTCGGATTAAAAGACACACACAGACTAAAAGGAAGGGGATGGAAAAAGACACTGCTTTGATAGACCTAGAAGGTATTTAAGTCAGAGAAAAACAAATACTATATGATTTCACTTATATGAAGAATCTAAGGAATAAAAAGAACAAACTAATAAAAAACAGACTCGAATATAGTGGACAATTGATGACGGGGAGGGGAGTTTGGAGGACTGGAAGAATAGGGTGAAGGGTTAAAGAAGTACAAATTAGTAGCTGATGGATGGTCACGGGGATGGGGAGCACGGTAGAGGGAATGCAGTTAGCATTAATACATTGGCTAGGTGGAGGGTCAGAGGAGGGAGGGAGCAATTGGGGAGATCGTTTTATGAACTATATAGATGTCTAACCAATGTACTGTATACTTGAAACTAACTAAAATAAATAAATTAAAAAAAATATATATTGTTTGCCAGAAACTAAATAGGTAGCAGTCTTCATGGGGAAATCAAACATCCCTGGGCTGTTCTTTTTGTTCTGCCTCTGTCTGTCCAAGCTCTGGTTGTATGTGTACCTGACAGTGAGGACAACTCTATTGGCTTCTGGCTGAGGCTGAAGGAGGAAAAGGAACAAGGACAGAGGAGACAAAACTGAGCATTGGATAATACTTGACAGGAGCTGAAGAGAATTTCTGAACCAAAGAACTTTTGAAAATCGTCTATGGGCTACCAACCTGTTGGAATACTATTCAGCTAATAAAACGATAATTATGTTGACAGTTTTGACACATGAAAAAATATACATAAAATAAGCTGCAAAATAGGTGAGTTCAAAATGTGTGGCTATGTTTATTGAAAATGTATGAAATGTGTGTGTATTTTGAAAAAATTGGAAGCTAATTTGGTATGCAGAAAATATTTAGACTTTATTATTTATTTTACTTGGTAAAGTAGCTGAAATACATAAAAGGGGGAAATATATACCACTTTGGGTGAATATATAAAGTAATAACTTCTATTTTATTTAATGATAACTTGGTAATCAAGTGGCATTCAGCGTTAGCTCTGTAATATAACCGTGTTAAAGAATAAGTGAGCAGAGAGAGCTACTAGATACAGCACCGCTCATGGAGCAAGCCATTCTATCTCCAGGGGTAATTTTTAAAATAGAAAAGCATTTTAATTTAAAGCTCCTAGTCAACTGTTTGAAACCTGAATCCAAATGCAATGCAAAGTGCATCGATTTGTTGAGGCGTAAGAGGTTTTATGTACTATGTACTGTAACATGATATTTTATTGTTAATTAACTGATCAAAACAGATGTTCACTAAAATTCTGTTTAACATTTTTACTTCCTAAATTCTCTTTTACCAGACACTACCAATCTATTTTCTGAGAAGTGCTGGTTGCTGTAGGCTTCTGAAACTATCACAAACACACCAAAGGAACCCAGACGTGTGGGCATTCTTTTCAGAAAAGGCAAGGCCTCCCGAAACACCCCAAAGTTAGGAGACAACCTGAGAAATTTATGACACATATAAGTAACGGTAATTATCCTTAATATATGAAAGATTTACAAATAAACATTTGTAAGATAAACATTTCCTACAAATAAACATTTGTAAGATAAACATTTCCTATAAAAATGGGCAAAACAAGCCCTTCATAAAGAAGAAAAATAGTCAATAAGCATAGGAAAATTTTACTACCACTTGTAAACTGTAAATTTTGATATCACTTGTAAACAGAAAAGTTAAAACAATAAGATGGATATTTTTAAATCTATCATATTGGTGAAGGAGAAAAAAAAATGATCGTATTCCATGTTGTTCAGGGCATTTGAATGTGGCAGTCTTGATCTCTGCTGGTATACTTTTTGGATGGCAATTTAACAATACATATTAAAACCTTAAAATGCATATTGATCTAGCATTTACATTTTCAGGAATTCATCCTAAGGAAATAGTCTGATAATAAGTTTGTAAGGAATTATGGCACAAGGATGTTTATTGAGGCACTACTGGTAACAGCAAAACACTGAAAAGAGTTTACGTGATCATCAGAAGAGGGTTGGTTAACTAAATTATGGCACATTTACCAGTCAAACATAATGACGTGTAACTATATTTATAAATATATGTTTATGATATGTTGCTAAATAAAAGTGTAGAAGACAAAATAATATGAATAATATGACTTAATTTTGTTAAAACATATATTTATTTATGAAAGATCATACATTGAAATGTACAAGCTACTGCCTCTGGGAGGTAGGGTTATTGTTTTTATTGTATTCTTTATATTCTTCTGTGTTTTCTGATTTTTTAATAATAAAAAAGCATTTTTTAAATAAAAAGAATTTTTAAAAGTATACCTGGAATTTCAAGCTTTTAAAGCATATGAATCACTTATGGTTATTTCCATTATTAAAATACTCATCAAAACCAGTTTTCTGAAGGATGATAATGTTTGCTTAGCTAGTTGGCTCCTGATGAAGAGGCAAAGGGAAGAATTAACATTTGCTGAGCATCTAGCTCACATCAAGCAACTACTTAGATGTCTATGAGTTCACGTCTCATTTAGTCCTCGCAACTGCCTGTGAGAGAGAGTTTATTTCCTGGATGTTACAAATGAGGAAACTGAGGCCCAGTTACTGATTAAGTAACCTGGCTGGAGATCTCACATGTAATAAATGGTGGAGCTGGGATTCAGCCTGAGGTCTCATGTGGTTCCAGAGCCGGGTTCCTCATACGGAATGAAACTCATTTAGCCACAATAAGAAACAAACACATCTCTGAAATTAAATAATAAGCAAATGGAAAAATTGGATTCAGTTTTTAAAGGCTTTCTTGCCAGCAACATATGAAGGAATGCAATTGTGCATAAAATAAAGTACACATCTAAATATTGAAAGAACTGGAAACCTCTCTCTCTTGAAACCTGCAATGTTAAGATGCAAACAACATGACAATTCTGCATTTCATGTAGGACAAATTTATCCAAAGCTACCTGTTAGTAAGGTATAAAAACATATACTTACTTTTCCTTTTTGGTGTCCTGGCAGTCCAACGTAGGGAATTCTACTTTGATCATTTCTGGAGTCAACATAACTTCTACATTCTGTTCACAGAGCTCACTGAAAAGGAATAAGATGTTTAGCTGGAATAGTTTTTCCTTCCCCTCAAAAAAGAGAAACATTGTGACCATTAAAGAGTTATGCGATTCTTGGGGCCTTCAACATTAATTCTAACTACTTTTGTTGTGTCTGTGTTAAGAGAAGTGTAAGGCTGGTAAATTGCTTTCCACCAATGAACAATGGTAGGAATAACAGAAAATAAAAAGCAATTTTTAAAATGGGGTTACAGAATTCATATTCTTTTCAAGTGCACATGGAACATTTACTGATATTGGCCATATCCTGGACCATAAAGCCATAATGGAATTCCAATAGAAATCAACTTCAAAGAAGATAACTAAAACAATACACAATTGCTTGAAAAATTCAACAATATTTTTCTAAATAATCTATGGGTGAAAGAAGAAATTAAAGGGATTGAGGCTATTTTTATCTTGTGGTCTGCTATCACCTTGAGTAGGGATCAGCAGACTTTTTCTGTAAAGGTTTTGCAGGACATAAGGTCACTTATATAAATATTCAACTCTGCAGGTGTAGCATGAAAGAAATAGAAAATACACAAATGAATGTGTGTAGTTATGTAAGAAAACTTTATTTACAGAAACAAGTGGCAGGCCAGATTTGGCCATGAGCTATAGTTTGCTGATCCCTGGGCTAGAGCTTTGCCGTTTGGTGGTTATAGCTGTGTCAGCTGGGGCAACGCAGGGAGAGAGAGTGGGGAAGAGATACACTCACTCTTTTAAGAGTCCTGACCTCAGAAGTAGAATATCTGACATCTGCTCACATTCCTTTGGCAAGGTCCTGGTCAAATGGATGACTTAACTGCAAGGGAGGCTGGAAAATTTAGTCCCTACTTTGAACAACTCTTACTTTAAAAGAGGAGGGGAATGGATTTTTTTTGATAACAGCAGGCTCCACCACACTCAGTTAAAGAGAAATGCTTCCAAGATCAACAAAGGCAACAAAGGCCTCAAAGTTTGGAATTACAAACAGGAACTCTATTTAGCAGTGATACATAACTAGAGGAGGGCCTAGCAAGTTTCTGTTAAGGAAAGTAGCCATGAAAGCTGCAAAAGTTGTTCCAGTCCCATAAGACTGCAAATTAACAATTACTAAGCAGGTTCTCTGTGCGAATCACTATGTGAGTGCTTTGCAAACATAATCTTCCTATTAGCAGTTCACTCATCTCTAAGGCGGGGATGATAGTAAAATCTCGTGGGGATTAAATGAGTGTACTTGCAAAGTGCTGCACCTGAGCTACACTGAGTGCTCAGCAAATGTAAGATATTATAGTTACCATCAGCAGCAGCATTGACGTCTCCTTTAACAATTGCTTATGAGGTGGGCACTATTCTCACTTCAAAGAAGAGGAAATTGAGTCACAATAGTTTGCATATTGGTGGTGAACGGAGGAGTGGTTAGCTATGTTTTGGTTTGCTTAGAGGCTCCTCAGTGGCCCCTGTCAGCACTTTTTCCTTTGAATCTCAAGCAAATGTGCATTACCTGGCCCTGGCGGCAGCATTCTCAGCAATGCTGACCTCCCCTGCCCCCTCTCCCTGCCCCGTGTCCCCCTCCCCCCAACGCGGTGGTTTGAATAGAAGACACTTCAAACTTCCTGTTCAGACCTCGGTTCGAGCTTTAAACACTCAAGTATTGCCAAGTATCACTGTGTGTGGGCAGGTCTCAGAGAACTGGATTGACACCTCTGATATTTTGGATTTCACTATTATTTACATGCAAAAATGTTTAAATGGCACAGTGACAGGACAGTCAAGGACATATTTTTATGGCTGGTGGCTGTTCATCAGTAAAATCAAATTTAAGCATCTTGGTTTTGGGCCTATATTTCTTTATGTCTCTCCAAGTCCTACCCGTCTGTCAAGTACTGACCCAAATCCACATGACCACTGAAGCTTTCCAAACCCACTTAGCACCACCTCTGCTCTCCCCTCCCCTGAACTCCTAAAGAACCTAAAGAACAGCAAACACGAGACCATAAAAACTGTGTATTCTCCACCACGAATTTAGCATCTTTTCTAGTTAGGAATATGGCTGAGTTTTAGCCTTATCTCATTTGGGTTGCAAGCTCAGGCACCGGGTGCTTTTTGGAAATCTCTCACAGCACCTAGTGTATTTCTGGAAAACAGACTACATTAGAGACCAAAAGTAAAAATTGTACCGTTCAACTGTTTCCAATCTGTCTTCTTCTGGTAAGGAGTCCAGAATGGCTGGGACATTTACAGGAAGCAGCACCGAATTGAGGTTATCGCAGCTGTGGAAAAATCGCACAAGCAGCCAAGGATAAACAATCACATTGTAGTCTTGGGGTCTTTGTGTAATTTTCTAAAGCACTTTTATTTTACCACTGTTTTTACTGTTTTGTCCTCCTTTGCTCCTAGAAACCCACTCACGTTTCCTTAGAGGCAGACGCAGGGGGTAAGATAGGTGAAATCCAAGAGTATGTTGTCAAATAAGACATTCTCCAGGGTTTAGAAACAGAATTTTTAAACTTGTCTAAAATTAGAGAGTTCACTTTTCGTTCTTGTTATTTTCCCCATTTTGATATTATTCCTTAGTTCTATTCAATTTCAGACCTTCCTCCCAACCTCTTATATATTGTTTGACATTATAAGTTTAGAAGCGTATACAAAATTCCTGAGTATTGAAGACAGTAAAAGATTGAGATAGAGAGAAAAAATATATTGTTATCTTAATCTTGTTTCAAGATGGTGGAAAAAGCACTTATTTTAGGTCTCAATGCCTCATAAACCTTTCTAATGATATTAAAGAAATAAAAACTGAACACACAATAGCAAAGAGAACAGAAGAAATGACAAATGGATAAAAAGTTTTCAACAATTTTCTGGAATACATTTCTTGAAGGTGGGAAGACTGTTGTCTCCTGAAAAAGTAAAGGATGGCAGAGCCTCGAACACAGGAAGGAACTGTCCTCCCTACAGACCCTACAAAGATCGCAGTCTGAGGGTAAGGCGGGAGGCGGGAATGGGAAAATGGGGCTGACTGAAGCCCTTTGAATGTGCGTATGTCTTTGAGGTGAGTTTCTTCTCCTTGTTTTGTTCTTGTGCAAAAATGCACCTGATTTCCGAGTATAGAGATTGGTTGAGTAAAACTATGGCACAAGGCTTTTACAGCTGTAAAAAAATGAGGAAGATATCTACATACTAGTACGGAATGATTTTTAGGAGTTATAAGTGAAAAAGGCAAAATGCAGAAGAGCATATCTAGTGTGCCACTTTTTGTATTAGAAAAAAGGGAAGGTAAGAAAAATACATATATTCTGCTTAGCATTACAAAGAGAAGCAAGGGACCAGTAGATCAGAAGACCAAGGTGGTTACTCCAAGTGGTGGGAGGCAGATGAGAGGGAGTGACACTTCTCTGAGTATGTTTTTTTGTGTAGTTTTGAGTTTGGAAGGCATGTTAATAGTCTATATATTAAAATAATAATAATAATAAAATTAAATCAATAAGAAAGGAAAGAAAAAACCCAAATTGAAAGTAAACTGAAACCAGTATTTCAAATGAATCCCATAATCACACTGGAGGGAAATAAAGAAGAGAGGGAGAAAAAGAAAAAAAAAAGGAAAGAAAGAAAGAAAGGAAGGTGGAAAGAAAGAGGGAAGAAAGGAGGGAAGGAAGTAAGGAAAGCAATCCAGGTAATTTATAAATATAGTACTTGACTATATTTTTCTAGTCTTAGATGGAATGGGGGTAGGGGAAAAATTACAAATAAATCTGAACTTTATTATGTTTTCTTACTAAAGTGGTTATAGGTGAAGTAATTCTGAAACTATTTTAGATGTGCCATAAAATTGAGTAAATGTGTTAGGAATCAGGGTTCTCACAATGGAAAGAGACATATAAGTATGGAAAGGAAGAAAGCAAGCAATAACTCTGTGGATATGGGCTGGAATTATAAGCATTGGTTGAATTCATGATTTCTGAGATATATACTGTATATGTATGTGTACATATGTTTATGCACACATGTATATGTACATATGTGTATATTAAATGTATGCGTGCATGTGCTTTGGCATGTACATGTATATATGTATGTGTGTTTGTGTGTGTATGTATATATTTATATATATTTCTCCACATACACACCCTGGCTTGTCTGCTGAGGAGGCCAAGAAACAAAACCGCTCAGTAGCACCTAGATCCTGGACTTTAATACCATTCCTCATTAAAAGAAACCTTGGGCTCCGCCACCCAGAGATTAGTCCTGTTGATTGACTTGATGACGAAGGCAGGTTCTGATTGACACTGCACTGAGACTTCAGTGTGTAGTCGGGAGGGAGCCCTGTCCGAAGAGGGGCTGAGGTGCTGACAGTCTGGACCATTCTCCATAGCAACAATCGAATGCTTTTCAGGAGACAAAACACCCGATTTTTAAATTTTGAGACCATATACCTCTTACTTTTTTTGTATTAATATGTTCTTCCGAAACTGAAATGGTGGCAATAGATAGTGCCTGGGCGTTTTGTTTTGCTTTGTTTTGTTTTAATGACAAAGTAAAACTCTGATCCTAAATCAGTCCCAAAATTCTGGACATCTCACTTGTCTCTAAAATTTTGAAATCTGGGCACTACTAGAATAGATGATTTCTTCAGTTGCTGTAGACACTCAGATTTTATGAAAGTCCTAGAGACTCAGCAAATTCTCTAAATTTATTTAAGAGTGAAGAAACCAAGTGAGCTGTTTTGTTTATTATGAATACAAAAATGACTTGGAATAAATAAACACTAAATAAATATATCACATAGTTTAACAACAAACAGGTAACTTTCAGGGGCAAAAGACATGAGGGGTCCACTTCATAAGCAATAGGTAATTTATTGAAGCAAAATAATTGCAAAGTTGAAGTATCATTAATGGATCTGTAGGCACTTAAAAAAGAAACGCCATTATTATTTTGTAACTGCTTTTAAAAATAAAGACATGATCTAGATTTTTACATCATGGAAATGCACGATAAGGAAATATATAATCCTTTCTTGATTTTATAATGTTATGCAATTATGGTTTATTTCGAAACAAACTGCCCAACAGAGCACTCAGACACAGAAGCTGAAAGTGGCAACTCAGGCTTGGTGAGTTTTTTATAATTCATGTAGAATTTATGTTTAATTCATGGTTAATTCAAGCCCAAGGTTACTGCATTCTAACTGCTTTCTGAAAGAACAGCCTCAGGAGGTTTTTCCAAGGACATTGCTTTAAGAAATAAATAGGATTCTCCCCTCCCCCCACTCCCACCCTGGTAATTCTGGAGACCTCTGCATGTGGACAGCTGGTGGACACAGGCTTTCTCCACTTCTCACCATTTCTCATTTTGCTTGGCCAGTCCCCTGACAGTACCCCACATCCAGCTATATTTACCGATTACACGGGTCAGTTTTGAAGTGTCCTCACCCTACCGCAAAATGAGGCAGTGTGTCAGGGTGGCGGCGGATCATCGCCATCTGGTGGCGACAGAGTGAATGCAAGGTTTAGTGGGTGGGTATGGAGGGTGGAAGAGAAAAAGTTATAAATATGGTGCTATATACTTTACATTTTACTTTAATCCTCATAACAGCATGGTGAGGATGCCATTACCATTCCTGTTTCACACGTGGGGAAATTAGTGTTCAAAGGGCTTCAGTAATAAGTAACTTGCACAAGGACATAGAGCTGGTGACACAGCTAACAAGTAATGGAGGCAGATGCCTCAGACCCCAAAGCGTTGTTCCCTCTACCATGCCCCTGTTTTGCCTGGAGATATCAGGTCTTCAAAAATATACTAGAATGAAGAACAAAAATGCTTAGTTTATTTTCAGATTGCAGTGGGGTGGATGAGATATGAATGAACTCATAGAAGAGGTACTAATATTTTTGAGCTCCTACCACGGCCCAAGTCCTATGCTTGGTCTCATGTTAATTTCCAGGGAGAGGGTAGTAGAGAAGCACCAAGGCAATAACCCAGAAGGGTTATTTTCCATGTGCTGTGGAAAAGCATCTGGCAGTAAGGCTGGATTTTACTTAATTCAGGAAGAGCTTTTCTCTTGGCAATGAAAGAAGAAGTAAATGAAGTGTTCTGGAGCCACGAATTGGATTTCAAATATCTCCCCAAATACGTGGGGCAGGGGGGTGGACAGGTAGTATATATGGGGTCACTGCACATGGGGCAAGTTCTCCTACACCTCCTGAAAATATCAAGGCTAAAAATGGTCTTTGCAACAAGTTCAATCCCCTTGTCTTCTGGACAAGAGGACTGAGCACAGAGAGGTGGCCGAGGAGTGTGGCTGAGGTCACACAGCTTCTGGATACCATGTGGAATTCTGCTGAGGGAGAGGACTTGAGTTTCTATGTCAGAGAATCCAGGACATGCTGGCGGGGGTCAGGGTATAAAGGTCACCTGGCTGATCCTGGTTGGTGGCAGAGCTTGGGTTTCCTGACCACCCCTGGGGCTGTGACAGGGCTCTGCCACCTTGGGGTGGGCCTCATTCTGAATCAAGGATTGAAAATAAGATGATGATAATCATTTTAGGATACTAGTCACATTTGCTCATCAATAGCTCACTTAACTATGTTTATAAGGACGATGAACCAAAGAAACAAATTCAAGGGCTCAGAAGTGTGTTATTGACCAAGCAAAGTCCTAAAAATAAGGAATCAGTCTCCTTGTTTGATACCTTAGGGCTTTGAAGAGGTGTTGTATAAGTGAATTAGAAAAAAGGTGATTAAATTTCTTTTTGCTTTGGTCCAACAATATTTTCATCTACTTGTTCCTTTTCTGAAGCTGGGCTACAGGCTAAATCTGAAGCTGAGCTATGTCTCTGTATAATGATAACCGTGTGACCTCACTGTGAGTGCTAGGCTGTGGTATGAGAGAGAAGTGGATCTTTTGGAATTGGATATGAAAGGTGTAGAAGGCTAACCTTGGCAATTTTAAAATGTTAAAAATTGACTATGGATACCTTAGCTGAATTATATGGATTGGCTGTCTCCTTTTATTGCAATATGGTCAACTAGCCACCTGGGACATGAATTTTTTTAAAGGTGTATCTTAAGACCAATTCAAAATATGAAAATCAGTCATATATCATTATATTTCTCTGACTAGCAAACTTCCCTCATGCACTAGAAGTATGATCTGACACATGATTGGCATTTCACTCTTCAGGATCATAGCTTTGTAATCCGTGAAGCAAACATACCTCTGTGAGACAACTGATGGCTGTGCTTACCTCTGCGTCGTCTCTGTCTTAGAGGTCTCGGGCAGGGATGAAAAGATCAGGGACTGGAACCTCTTCCAGTACATTATCCCAGGTATAATGTCCTGGAATAAAAGCCAGCAGAGGGGTACCACATGTAAAGGAATCATTTGGTGAGGTGAAATCTAGGAAGGACTTCCATTTCATTCAACTGACGATTGTTTAGTCTTAAACACTGAGCTCCAGAATGTATAATTTCATTCATTTTGATTGAATTTTCTGAAGGCAAAAGACAACTGCTTCAGCAAAGGGTATTAAATAATGTAACATGGAATTAAAGCAGGGACAAAGGAGCATTTTTCTTCCCGATTCATTAGGCACACAAGCAACAGGTCCTGGAGATGGAGGGCAGATTCTGCCTTACAATCTGTTTATTGTGACTGTCCTGCTAATGCAACATTCAGAGAAGCCGAGTGGTTCATCAAATGGCACTCCAGGCAGGGGAAGTGCCTACAAGTGCATGGAGATGAGAAGGAGGGTGCTGTCAGGCCACCAGCTGAGTTGAGCATGGGGCATGTGATGGGGATTGTGGAAAATGAGGCTGGAGAAGCAGGCTGTTCATGAAGGGCCTGTAGGCCAAGCTAATGAGCAAGAAGCTGCTCTCACAGGCAGCAGGACCACTGAGGGTTTTCAAACTGGAAAACAACATGGTCGGGTGTGTATCGAAGGAAGATTTCTAGAGAGGGCTGATGCACAGTGGTGGGCCATGGTGGTGGGGTGGGGAGAAGAGAGAGGGAGATTCACATGCTGTTTGAAGCAGACTAGTGGAATCCAGTGATGGTTAAATATGGGAATGAGGGAGAGAAAGGAATCAAGGATCATGTGGACCATTGCACAAGTCAGCAAACAAAGAGGTAATGCAGGAGAAGCCATTTTGAGGTGTGGCTGGCAAAAGTAGGGAAGAGTTAATGATCTGAGCTAGGGATTTATTGAGTTTCCAAGGCCTGAGGCCTTTCAAAGGCCCCTAATGGATATCACTAGATATTTAGGTCAAGTTGGTAATCTAGGGAGAGAAGGAATTCTGTGGAGCTTCTTCCTTACTGTGCATTTGTCATATCATCACCATGTCTATTCTGATGTTTCTACACTTGTAGGGGCCAAAGAAAGAGGAGGTCAGACCATGGAGTTATATCTGCCCTGTGACCATTTTACATGGCTGAAATAGGAATAAAATGAATATGGGGCGTAGCCTTCAAGGGAAAAAGAGAGTAAGAGTATTTAGAACAGGGCAGCATGCAGTCTTAGAGGTGCGTACGGATAGGACAAGAGTGGTCTTAAGTCTCTCATCTGTACCTCTGCAAGGCTGGCAGTAAGAGAGTGTACACAGCCACCACTGTTACCTTTCTTACTGTTCTACAGCTGTGGCTGCAAACCTTCTTTGTCTCAACTCCAGCCGTGACCCTTCATCCTTGTCTCCTGCCCTTCCCCATAGCCCAGGGTCAGCGCTGTCAAGGAGCTGGTGATGGCCTTACCGTGTGATGGAGAAACTGTTTTTGGGTGAGAGGAATGCTGGACCCACTGTGGGACTCCTTGGTGAACTTGTACTTGGGATGAGAGCACAAATGGTAATCTATCAAGGTTTCTGCGTAGGTCAAAGGGTGCTTCACGGCAAATAATCCTGGGCTGGGATTCTGCGGAGAGAGAAAAAAAGATTCTCTTTTGTTTACCAGTTTCTAAGTCAGGCATAGTACAGGTGTCAGCTGATGTTCTCCATGGCTCCCATTAGCACTAACACTCTGAGTCCATGTTAGCTCCTCTGGGAAAGAGAAGCAGGAGAGCAGAGTCATCTTCAAATTGGCAGCGTCTTAAATGTCACAATCATTCATAAATGTCACATTTCTGGTTTTAAGGGCTTTGTTACATACCATGTGGATTTACTGAGCTCAGTGGAAACAAGTACAACTGAAATCACAGTTTCAAATGGCTTAAAGTATTTGTTTCTAAATTTGATGAATTAGGGGGATTTATTAAATAAACAAACTGGATTTATAAAGCAAGTAAGCTTCTGGCTTTGAAAACAAAGTTATCTTCTTAAAAACTACTTCAAAAAGACGACAAAGAAGAGGGTGACATTTGCTGTATAAGGAAATGCCAACATTTAACATTGTTTTGGTAATATTTTTAATTGAGGAAGGCTCCATTTGGCTGTAGTATCTGGTTTTAAGGAAGATTCTATTTTTTACTAGTTTTCCAGCAGGACTAACAGAGGCACAGAACAATTATGTCAAAACATGAAAATATAGAGCCTTTTAATATTCCTTCTAGGACTCATCCAACAAAAACCTCGTTTTGTCCCAAATAACAACATAGCTTTTGCCCCTCACAGTTACTTAATTTCAGATGTTTAAGAACCCCAAAGTTGATATTTTTGTTCTATTTGTTTGTTTCTATAATTTTTTAAAACAAAATTTTAAAAAACAACAAAACTCCACATGGCTTATAGAAACCCAATTTCACTGCCAAGAAACAAATGTGTCCCACAGCTTAAGGGAAGTGCAGCTAGACAGGGGAGGCATTACAGCACCCAAATGCAAGGGGTGGGAGAGCCTAGAGTGGTGTTAGTAGTAAATTTGTTCCAGTCAAGAACATTAGGACAACTGTAAGCTTGGTTCAGAGGCTGACTTGCTGCTAGGGCCAGGGAGAAAGACAGGGAGAGGGTTCTTGACTGAACTCACGGATATAAGGGAAGGAGGAGGGCAGGGAAGCGATGATGGCACTAAAGGAGTCTGCAAAGCCCACCTCAATGCAGAAACGAACAATATCTCAATAAGCGCTTACAGTCGAAGGAAGAGAGAAAGTGTGTGTGTGTGTGTGTGTGTGTGTGTGTGTGTGTGTGTGTGTGTGTGTCAACAGCAGGTTCTTTTGCAGTTCCTCAAGACCCCTTCCCCAGATAAGGGCTGGAGGGTTGGAAGAGAGCAATGTGAAAGTTGGGGGTCCTGGCGAGGCAAAGCAGGGGAGGCCTGAGAATACAGAGGAAGGTGGGTGAGGAGGAAGGATAGCGAGGAGGGTAGTGGGTAGAGAAGTAGGGGACATTTCCTGTTCCAGTGCATGCCCCCTTAAATAAACCAGAGTGCAAGAGTGCTATGGAGGGAGAACCAAAGAACAGAAGACAGAGCAAGCACCCCCTCCCCACTGGGCCAACCAGGTCTTCTGAGCATAATTACAGAGATGCCCAGAAGTAGAAGAGGGAGAACCTTGGCCACCCCGCAACCAGCAAGTGAGAGAAACAGGCAGGACTAAAGAAATGGAAATGGACCCCAGCTCCATTTCATGGGTAAGGGAGCCACTGGACTGTAAAAATCTGAAAACTGCTGGCTTCCATCGCCAGAGTCATTTCTGTGGCGACAAAAGGCCAATCAGGATAGCACCTGAAAAGGGACTCTGGAGGGAACTGGGGCAGGAGTGACAGAGACCCTAGCTGAGCGGGATGTGGTGTGTTGGAGGAGGGGGCTGGCCACATCCTGTGGGGGTAGTGATGGGGGCAAAGGTACACAGAACCAGGGAGGGGACATTAGCTGTGTGGCCTTTGGGAGCGCTTCATATACTGGTTCGTTGGGGGCATGGGGAGTTGCTGAGCAGCTAACTCTCTGGATCTGCCTTGGGCCAAATGAAATAAGTGAAGTATTTTGAAGATGGTAATATCACTGTCTCTAAGAGTTGTTGCACTTGAGATCTTCCTGGGTGGCCACTGCCACCAGAGTAAGTGCTCTGAGTGGCCATCCCATGATTATTTTAGTATTAATTTTCCTTAAAGTAATGCATACAAATGGTGACAACTCTGCTAGGCTGGAAAGGTGTGTGAGAAAAAGCAATGGGGCTCCTGTGGGCCCTCCCTGTCCTCAGGCCCACATCCCAGAAGGTGTTTCTTTCCATTATTTTTGGGTTTTATGCCTTCGAGACGGTCAGTATTCTAACCCAAAACATTATGCTTATTCTTCAATTTCTTGGTTATCAACCTCCGAGGGCATCTATTGACTCATTACTATGCAAGATAAGAATTTGCTCATGTGCACAAATGCTCCTTCCAAACTATTTCCTTCCAGTTTAGAAAACTACACTGTTATTTTAAGTTCTGATGTCGGTTATCTTTGCAATGTGAAATGACACACTTACATCCTCATTTCTTGTATCCTCATCTTTAGTTGAGTATTTCAACGCCCTCTCCGGTGAAATGAAAGCATTACCATTCCTATGCTTTCCTGCAGCTCTCCTCTCTTCCGCAAGTCTACTTTTGTATTATGGAGATTGTTAATATTCATATTCTGGAATAACAGCCAAAACCTTCAGGCTTTGTTCATAGGTTATCTCTGAAGGTGGAAAATTAGTAAACAGCATTTATTTTGTCTTGTCTATGTAAATATGTTTCTTTGCCAGGCCAAGTAGAGGCACCAACTATAGATTTTTTGGGTGAGGTTTCAATGACGTGAGCCATAACAGAGAAAAGATATGGTATGCAGGCCAAGTGTTTGTATTTTCTATCAACTCCGAAAAGTCAAACCAAATTTTAGTTTGGTTTTCTATTTGAGATACTTATCAATTTTTAGTTGACTACCCTCCACCCCCAACCCTGGAGTTTATAATGGCCTTTTTTTTTGCTTGAACAATGCACCTTTTATATGCTTGAGTTTTTCCATCCTCCCAATTGCACTGTTGCTGAAAGAGTTTTCCTTTCTCCCGACACTTCTTTCCCTCCCTTCTTCAGCCTTAATGCACAGACACCATCCCAGGACTGCACCATGTGTATATTTACCGATTGTAACTGGTATTTCTTTCCTTTTTTGTTTCTCTTCTTAGGGTTTTCAGATTCCTTCTTTTATAAATATATTGATGTATAATTAATATATAATAAGCCTCACATATTAAAAGTATATAATTTGATCTGTTCTGACATGGTACATCTGAAAAATCATCACCCTGATAAAAATAATGAACACCACCATTGCCTCTAAAAGTTTTCTTTTGCTCTTTTGTAATCCTGCCATCCCTCCTTCCTGCCCCTTCATACCCGTCCACCCAACCCATCCCCAGGAAGCCACTAATCTACTTTCTGTCTTTATACACTACTTTAGATGTTCTAGAATTTAGATGGAATCATAAAATATGCACTTTTTTTGTCTGATTTATTCTACCAAGCCTATTTATTCTGAGAACCATCCATGTTTTCACATGTATCAAGAGTTTACTTCTTTCTATCACCAAAGAGTATTCCATTGTATAGTAATACCACAATTTGCTTCTCCATTAATCTGTTGATGGACACTTTTTTTCCCCCAATTTGGGAACATACACAACTGCTATAAATATTCTTGTACAAGTCTTATGCTTCCATTTAGCTTGGGTGAATACCTTGGAGCAGAATAGCTGGGTCATATGATAGGCGTATGTTTACTATTAACTTTTTAACTTTGTAAGAAACTGCCAAATTGTTTTTTAAAGTAGTCGTACCACTTTACATTCTCGCCAGCAGTCTTTTTAATTTTAAATATTCTAATAGAGGTACCGCAGTGTGGTTTTAATTTGCACTTTGCTAATGATGCATTATTTTGAGCATCTTTTCATGTGTATATTTGCCATCTCTGTATCTCCTTTGGTGAAGATCTTTTGCCCATTTTAAAATTGGGTTGTTTGTTTTTTACTGTAAGGCTTTAGGGGTTTTTTTTTAGGGGTTTTAGGGGTTTCTTACTGTAAGGTTTTGGGTTGTTTCTTACTGTAAGGTTTTAGGGGTTTTTTCTCTATTTTGGATACAAGTCTTTTATTATATATGTAATTTCCAAATATTTTATCTAAGTCTATGATTTATCTTTTTTTTAACAGTGTCTTTAGAAAACCAGAAATACTTAATTTGGACAAAGTCCAAAAAAATCATTTTTTCCCCCATTTATAGATTGTGGTTTTGATGTTATATCTAAGAAATCTTTGTCTAACCCTGGGTCACAAAGATGTTCTCCTATGTATTTTATAGTTTTCTAGTTTTAGGTTTTATATGTAGGTCTATGAGCCAATTATTTTTGTTAATAGTATGAGATACAGATTAAAGTTCTTTAATTTTGATTTATTTTTGGTAAAGTAATATCCAAATGTTCCAGCACTATTTCTTGAAAAGGCTACCTTTGCTACAATGAATTCTTTGACATTTATCAAATATCAACTGACCACATATGTATGAATGCATATATTTCTGGATTCTCTATTCTGTTCCATTGATCTGTTTGTCTGTTTTTATGCTAATCCTATACTTCCTGTAGCTTTACAATAAGCTTTGAAGTCGAGTAGTGCAAGTCCTTCAGTTTTGTTCTTCGAAGTGTTTTAGATGTATTTACAGTCCATATAAATTTCAAAATAAACCTGTTGATTTTTACCCCCCCCCCCAAAAAAAAGCCCATTTGTTTTTTATTGGAATTGTGTTGAGTTTTTAGATTAGTTTGGAGAGAATTGATATCTTAACAATATTAAATCTCTGAATCTACCAACATGGTATATTTCTCCATTTATTTAGGTCTCCTTTATTTTTTCTCAGAAATTTTTCTTAATTTGCAATGTGCCATTTTTATTTACTTTTGTTAGATTTATTCATAAGTATTTCCTACTTTCTGATGCTATTGTTAAGAGAGATGAAGTCTAAAATTTTTAAGTTTAGACTGTTTGTTGTTAGTGTATAGTAATATAATTGATTTTTATATATTGATCTTGTATTCTTCATGCTTAGTAAATTCACTTTTTAGTTTTAGTAGGTTTTGGGGTAAATTCCATTGTATTTTCTACATAGACAATTTTGTTTGTAAATAAAGATAGTTCACATCCTCCATTCAAATCTGGATGCCTTTTATTTCTTTTTCTTACCTTGTTGCACTGGCTATAATTACAATCTTGAATAGAATTAGTAAGAGCTGACATCTGTGCCTTAATGCTGATATCAGAGGGAAAACAGTCATTTACAATTCAGTATGATTTTAGTTACAGATCTTAAATAGATGCTTTTATCAGGTTGAGAAAATTCTCTTCTATTCGTCACTTGATGAGAGTGTTTATTAGGATAATTTTTTTGCATCTATTGAAATCATATAGTTTTTCTTTTTCAGTCTGTTAATATGGTGAATTACATTAAGTTTTTCATGTTAAACTAATTTTGTACTCCTGGACTATGCCCCTATTTGCTCATGATATGTCCCTTTTTATATGATGAATTTAATTTTTTAAAATTTTGTTACAATTTTTTTTTTTTTTGGCATCTATTTTCATGAGGGATATTCTATCCTTTTTTCTTTTCCTATAATGTCTCTGTCTGGCTTTGGTATCCCTGACTTCTAGAATGAGTTGGGAAGTAGTCCCTCCTCTTCCATTTACTGGAAAGGTTTTGTAGATTTAGTATTATTTCTTCCTTAAATGTTTGGCAGAATTTCCCAGTGAAGACATCTGGGCTTAGGCTTTCCTTTATGGGAAGGTTTTTAATCATAAATTCAATTTCTTTAATAGATATGGAATCATTAGAATTATCTTGAATAAAATTTAATAGTTTGTACCTTTTAAGGAATTTAGCCATTAAACTTGTCTAACTTACTGTCATAAGTGTTTCATAATATTAACTTATTATCTTTTTAATATTCTGTGGAATCTGTAGTGTTAATCTATCCCATTATTGATTTTGGTCATTCTATGGTTTTTACCTTTTTTTTCCCTGATCTGTATGGTTAGAGGTTTATCCATTTTATTGATCTTCTCAAAGAACCAGTCTTCCTTTATCTGTTTTACTGTTTTCTATTTCATTGATTTTTCAATCTATCTTTACTATTTCTCTCTTCTGCTTAGTTTGAGTTTCAGCTACTCTTCTTTTTCTTGCATTTCTTAAAGGGGTAGCTGAGGACTTTAATTTGAGACCATCTTATTTTCTCATGTAGGCGTACAGAGTTATAAATTTCCCACAAAATTTTTGTGTTGTGTCTTCGTTACATTCAGTTAAAAATACTTTCTAACTTCTCTTTTGATTTATTTGGCCTTTAGGTTACATTAATTTATATAATTTATATAATTATATAATTTAGCTCCCAAATTTGGGGGGAGGGGCAGATTTTCTGGACATTTTTATGCTATTCATTGATAAATATTTTTATCAAAGTCAGAAAAAATACTTTATATGATTTGAATCTTTTCAATTTTATTAAGCCTTGTTTTATCTCCCCAAGTCTGATCTATCTTGGCAAACCTGTGGTGTACACTTGAAGAGAATCTGTTTTCTATTGTTTTTAGGTACAGTGTACTAGCAATGTCAATTAGGTCAAGTTGACTAAGAGTTGACTAATAGTGATACTTAAGTCTTTTTATATCCTGCCTGAGTTCTCGTTACTTGTTCTATCAATTATTGAGAGAGGGGTGTTGAAATCACCAACTATAATTGTGGATTTGTCTATTTTTCCCTTTGCAGGTCAATTTTTTTGTTTCACGCATTTTGAAGTTCTGGTGTTAGGTGGATAACTATTTAGGACTGATGTGTCCCTTTGATGAACTGCCTTACACCTAAGTTCCTATCCTATACATAGCAGGCATGCCCTAAGTATTTGTGAAATTAATGAATTAATAAATAACTATTGATCTTTTCCAAGGTAGTATGAATGTGAATATGGAAAACTCCCTTAACTTCTCTTGACCAGTTTTCTCACTTTTAAAATGGTGAGGAGATGGTAGTGGGTGAGTCTGTGGGATAAGAAACTGAAGAGTAGTTTTCAAACCTTGCTGTGGGGAGCCCCAGGGTTTTGCAGCGACACTCCCCTCAAGAGAGCCCACTACTCCACTACCATCCCAGCAACTACAACTTTATTTTACATTTTGCCTTTCTATGCAAAATTTCAGCTGTTGAGAGGGTTCTGTGCTAAATGAAGTTTGTTAATCACTGAGCTAAATGTCTTGTGAAGTTCTCTCAACACTAAGATTCTGTCTCTGAGAAACATTCTCCTCATTTGATGAGACGATAAGAAAATGTCCCAAATGCCCAGCCACAAACCTCACAGCTCTTTATTTAAAGAAAGCAGCATAATTCAGAGGAAAAATCCTGAGACAAACAATCAGGAAAGGCAGGTTTCTGTCCCAGCTCTCCCACTAACTGGCTGAGTGACTTTAGGTGTGACTGTTGGCATCTCTGCCCACATTAGAAATACAGATTCACACTTGGAGATTCTACTGTGATATTTCACTAATGATTCCATTATTACATAGAACCTCATCAGATTTGCCCTCTGTATTCCAGTCACCTGGGACGTGGGTAACTGGACATATAAAGTAGAAGAGGGAACTCCATGAGGGTAGATCAGAGTAAGCGAAGGTCTGGTGATGGGGAAAGCACACAAACTTTGGCAGAAATATGTGTAAGGGAATAGTGAAGAACTGGGCTGGGGTTTTATGATCGGCCTCACATAGACTTAATTTGGTAGGAAATGGGGTCAGTGAAGAATGTTGAGCAGGAGAGTGGGATGGCTAGGGTGTGCTTCAGGGAGGGCAATCAAGTGCTGCTACATGAAGTAGAACAGAGGAATCTGGAAGGCAGAGTTGTGAGTATGAAAGGAATTTACTGCCCAAGGATGAAACAAAGAATCTACAGAGCTCTGAGTGATAAGGTTTGGGGTAATTTTACTTTCTTTTTCTGTTATGTTTATATGTAATATAAACATAATAATTATATGTAATATATATCATATATATATTATATTACATATAATTAGAAAAGTTCACAAAGCTATTGTCATGAAAATAAATGATGGAATTGTTAAAAGACAGGAAAATTGATATTCTCCATGCAATAAATACTGACAAGTCATTTTGAAGATGAGATACTGTTTAAATCTTAAAATTCCAAAGAGAGAAAATATTTCCAATTAATGCTTCTGTTTTCTTATAAAGTAACCACCAAAATAAAAGAACATAGAATGCAAGATGTCTGCCAATTGTCACTTACAAATATGTAAAGTGGGTCATAATCTGGAGACGTGGCTAAGGCCTCAGGTGGTTTCATGCTCAAGATGGAGGTCTTACCAGGGAACTGAGGAGTGGCATCCTGCTTTGGCAAGGCTATGATGGTGGTGGCTTCATCCTGTACAAGGACCAAGAGCAGTGTGTTAGTTTTGATGACAGGACAAGGGGGAAACGGCGAGGGAGATTCCTGAAGCGGGGGATGTGTTACCTCAGCTCCTTGCCTCAGGGCTCGAGCAAGCTTTTGAGGTCTGTAACTTGTTGAAGACCTCTCGACAAAGAATGGCTGATACCCCTTAATTTTGTACAGCTGAGGAACCTGAGGGTGAAAGAAGAAGACTGACTAAATATCCTTAAAAGCCTGTGACCATTTAGTGGGATCTTTCTCAATGACAGTATTTCTGAGCTGCCTGATGGTAAAAAGAAAACAAGCACCACATTGTAATCATCAGATTGTGGCAACTGTTCACTTGACCAGCTCCGGGGAGACCTGAGTGCCCACCCTGAGCCCTGTTCTGGGTTCCAGAACACAGGAGTATTCACAATTACTCTCCCATATCACATGGCTCATCTGCAAAAATACACCAAATACTGGTTTGTCGATTTAAAAAATATTTTCAAAAAACAGAAGTGGTTATATAATTCAAAAAGGGCTGACAAACTTTGCTCACTTCATCTTGTGTTTTTTCTTAAAGTTTCTATATATGTAGTTCAGGTAGCTTCATGTGTGCATAATATATGGTATATCCACAGAATAAGGATCCTGGTTCCCATAAGCCGCATGAGGAAAAAAGAATCTATTATTATCTCACACATACCGTAAAATAACAGGGGAAAAACATACACAGTATGCAAACAGTATAATCCACAATAGAACAAACTAATAAAATAATGCAATTCAAATTCAAGAATATTTTGTTCACTTCATAAGAAATCTAATTAGCTAATACCGTATGGCAAGTCTGACCTGCAGCTTGAAGAAGGAATGACTGTGCTTGATTTGAATTTCTGAAGGTTTAATTGGGACTGGTCCAAGGCCATCAGGAGCCTAAAATGTGAAAATTCAAGGAATCGACACATTGTCAACATTGAGGAAAAGCATCTATGCTTCTATTTCCATATATTTTGAACATTAAATGAACAGTTCTATTTTTTAAATAAACCTTCCTGCAACCACAGTTGTCACTGGATGTGTGGGGCCTGGAGGCAGCATTGGTCACCCCTCCTCCTTGTCTCTTATTGCGTGTGATTCTTCTCTTTCACTTTCTACTGTTGCTGGTGCTGCAGCATGCCATCCAGAATCTCCTTTAGGTTTGAAGATTTTAGTCCCCCAGCTGCTAGGAATCTTGTTCATACAAACAACTCTCAGGGGTCAGCCCTCTTCAGTAGGTGCCCTGGCTGATAGGAGCTGCCTCACTCAAGGTCATGTGGCCCTTGGAGGGCAGCCCACCTCCAACGACAGCTTGAAGCAAAGGTGTAAATGCTGGGTCTTCTCACTCTATTTCAGTGTCAGAGCTCCTCATAAGTTTAGCCTTTGTCAGGGACAGTAGTCCTGCTTCTTACTCTGTCCACTTCTGCTCCCACCACCTCCCCTTCACAGGGTCTAACGCCCAAAGTACTACCTATTCAACTTCCTGCATGCTGATCTGCCTCAGATTCTCAGAGAACCTGCTACATTATGGGCACTCAATAAACACTATTTCACATAATCTAATACATCATAATTAAATTAGTATGATACAATGCTAGTATGCCGTGAATTATATTTCCCAATTTCGAAGATGCTAAATATTAAAAAAGTGATCTTAGAATTGATGAAATATTCATAGAATGAATTACAAAATTCTCTAGAGACAGGAATGCTGAACGGTTTTTTTCATTAACCCTGAGCAGCGAAGAAGTCCTTGTAGAAATACAATCTATTATGTGGAAATCTATATGTAGAAATATGAACTAACGAAAGCACCAAGTGAAATGTATAAGCTTTGAACCATCCAAAAAGAATAAGACAGGCTCCACAGCATAGCGAGGATCTCTTTCATCCCTATCACCCTTTCCATCCCATCTATTCTTGAATGTCACATATTTATTGTGGCTTAAAAATCTCAGATTTATTATTTCCTAGGAACTAAATACTTTCATCTCTTAAGTCATTTACTTATCCAATGCAGAAAACACATGGTATTTCTAAAGTCGGTCCTGTAATTCTTGAGTAAATTAACCTGCAATACTTAACACGTATTCTAGAATGTGAATGGCAAATTTATCCTTTGAAATGAAAATAATTTCTTGCATGTACACTTTCAATATCAATTTACACACTTTTGTTAATATGTGAACATTTTCTTATTGGCTATGTGCCTTTGTGTCTCAGTTTCTTCCTCATCTATATGATAAACATAGCACATAGATTCGTTTAAAATTAAATGAATTGATACCACTGAAGCACTTAAGATACTGCCTGACTATGGTAAATGAAATGTAAGGGCTATTATTTTTATCATAATGCATCATTGTGCCCATAAGGCAAGAGGGATGAACTCGAACTGCCACAACTCTTGCGAGAGAGAGAGAGAGAGAGAGAGAGAATTGTGAGTCTGATGGGTTAGATTGTTGGATTCTGGGCCATCCTTCTAGAGAGAGCGAGCACGAGCGAGCGCGCGAGAGAGGAGAGAGAGAGAATTGTGAGTCTGATGGGTTAGATTGTTGGATTCTGGGCCATCCTTCTTTGTCCTCTCCTTTTGCTCATGCAGCAGAAGGGCTCAGCTGAGCAGGGCCTGCCTCCCTGGTGCAGGCCAGGTCCTCTGGGTTTGTCTCAGGCCTGGTTCTTGGGCATTCAAGTGGGACTCAATGCTCTTGGTGGGTTCCAGGCTGGGAAAGACCCAGCCCAGGCTATCAGGAAGCTCTGCACAGGTATATCAGGGGCCAGGCAGGTGGCAGTAGCTGATCTCTGGTTTCCCATTGGTCACAATTCCCTAGGCACAGGTCTCCCTCGCGAGCTTCTTAAGAGGAGGTCCAGGGACTGAGACTAAGGTCAAGACTTGCCTTGGAATTTGCCTAGCAACCATCTGATCATGCCTGGCCCCTACCCCACAGCCCAGCAGCACCTACCAACTCGTTGGAGCCCTGGACAGGACTGTGGGACGGGAAGGCGAAGGGCAGCACTTGCTTGGGTGACAGAGAGAACCGGCAGTAATAATCGTCTTGACTGTACTGCAGCAGATGGTATTTGGAGGGAATGTTGTCTAAGAGGGAAAAACAAAACAGAACTTTTAGGGAGTCTTAAGGTATTTTTATGTGAAACTACCATCTTCAGTTGCATATTAGTCACACACCAATTAGTGGGTACCTGTCACATGCCATTTCAAAAAGAGTATGTATGTATCTATATAGTCCCATTTTTAGTATCCTCTTTGTTCTTTATCTCAACCTCTTCTCCAATTGTTTTAAAATTTTATTTTATTTTTACTTCCAAAGAGTTGCTGTTCTAGCAGAGAAGAGGAAGCCTGTATTGGGCTCAGGAGCTTGGGCCTGGGAAGGGAGGAAGGGGTAGAAAGGATCAGGGCCTGCCTGTGGATCTGCATATGTGAGCTATATCTGCATATAATTGGAAATACACAGTTTGGGAGAAGATGATAGGACGGCTTTTGGGCTCCCTGAAGCTACAGAGAGTGGGCCTCCAACAGCCCCAGTCAACCTGGGGATCAAAGAATTGAAATCTCTTTAAATAGCAAAGATGATATGAGATAAAAAGCTTTATGCACAAATGCTAGGTTGAGATAACACAAGATCCAGCCAATCAATCAACAAGTTGAGATAATACCAGATCCAGCCAATTAATCCTCGAATCCTAGTCTCTCTAGTGAAGAAAGAGAATAGAGGGCACAACACAGGAAGTTAAACCATGGCCAAATGTCACAGACATTACAACTTGGTTAGGCTGATTAGCCTTATTTATTATCAACTGGGCAAGTATTTCAGCCAAACCTGGTGTGGAGGTCTGATTTGTGTCATGTGGTAGGTTGAATAATGGCCCCCCCAAAATGTCTATGTTCTATCCCCCAGAACCTGTGACTATGTTATCTTACATGGTAAAAGGGACTCTGTAGATGTGATTAACTTAAGGATCTTGAGATGGGGAGATTGTCCTGGATTATCCAAGTGTGCCTAATGTAATCACAGGATTCACATACGAGGGAGGCAGGTGGCTCAGAGTCAGAGAAGGAGACGTGATGACTGAAAAGAGGTCAGAGTGAAGTAAGGAAGTGGACACAAGCCAAGGAAAGCAGGCGGCCCCCAGAAGCTAAGAAAAGGCCAGGAACACATTCTCCACTGGAGCCTCTGGAAGGAACCGGCCCTGCTGACATCCTGATTTTAGATTTCTGACCTCCATATCTGTCAGATAATAAATTTGAGTTGCTTTAAGCCACTAAATATATGGTGTTTGTAACAGTAGCCATAGAAAACTGATACATGTGATTTGTGAAAAGATTGTATTTCTACAGAGCTCACTTCATTATAAAAAAAAAACCTCATGCTCAGAGGACTACTGGTCAAAGCATTGTTGTACTTCCTAGTTGTACCTTACCTTGTGCTATCGACTGTCTTCTCTGCCTGAGCCTTCTGATTATGGCCTCTTTGTCCATGTTTCGAATAGCATCCAACATATTGAGTAATCGTCGATGAATCATGACCTGGAATTAGAAAGAATGATTTCAAATGATTAATTGGCACATGCTCATTATGGCATTCAATTTAATTCACTTTCTCCAACGACAGCTAAAGACTAAGGTCGCTGCTCTAAGTCAGAATCCACAAGGAGAGTAGCATGCTGTCCTAGACAGAGGCCACAGGGACTTCAAGGTCAAGGCAATGTTCACTTTCCTGAATACAAAAAAAAAAAAGACCAAGTTGTCATCTAGCCTTGTCCCACCCAATTTAGGAGACCCAGTTTTCTCATATTTTCAGAATGTAAAAAATAACTATTTCTATATTTCTTTTCAGTATATCTGAATAGTAGTGTTACTGTCATGTTATTTTCAGAGCTGAAGGACAAACTAAATGAAAAATTCTGTAGAAATAAAGCTGTGGATTATGGCTAATGCCAACTGTATACTACTGTGCTTTGAATTCAGAGCAGATACTATTGAAATTGAGTACTACCTGTGCACAGAGCTGCAGCCGTAGGGAACATTCATTTCATGATTAACACTCCTTTCTATCCTGTAAAGGACTCTTTCATTTAACAGGTATTCTGAATTGGCTACTCTGTGCCCTGTTTTGTGCAAGGTACTGAAGATATAGTGGGAACAAACAAATGTCAGCCTGCACAGAGCTGATGATCCAAGTGTGTGTGTGTGTGTGTGTGTGTGGCGGGGGTAGAGGTCGGGGGTGGAGTAGATGACAGTAAACAATTAAGAAAAAAAAAAAAAAAAACCCCAAGATAAACGCCATGAAGAAAACAAAAGAGAGTAAATGTATGAGGGTATGACTGAAGGACTGGAAAGGCGGTGGCCTGGCTATTCATGCAAGGATAATTAGGGAAAGCCTCTCTGAGGGGGTGAGTTTCATCTGACACTTGAATGATGAAGAGATCTTGGGAAGAAAATTTTGAGCAGAGGAACCAGCAAGTACAAAGATTCTGATTCAAGAACAAAGGAGACATAATGAAGGGACAGAGAAAAATCCACTATGTCCTTGTAGCCTTGATAAAAATTGTACATTGGATTCTAATTGCAATGGGAAGCCTTTGGATGGCCTTACCAGGGAAAGGTAACATCTTTCAGCAGTGAAATGCTACTCTGGCTGCTGCCTGGGGATGGGAAACAGGGATACATATTGCAGTCATCCAGTGAGAGATGATGGGGCTGTGACTGAGCTGGGAGATGGCAGGAAGTCATCAGACTGGGAACATATCTGCGCTGAACTGACAGTACTTGTTGGGGAGTATGAGGAAAAGAATGAGCCACCACGCAAAGCAAAGCACATAACTATTGACAATACTTTTTTTCCCCCTGGTGGGCTCACTCCAGAAGGGCCAGGGTGGTCCTACCAGTGGAAAGCCAGCCTGGCCTGTATCTTACTGTTGTTTACCCACTGGCGACAGCTGTGCCTCTCTCCCTTGGGGCACAGCTTTGTGCTGCCTCTTTCCACCAATTTCCTCTCCACAATGAGTACTCAATATGTTGGACCCTATGGCCACCTCTGTTCTGCGCATTCACAGAGCCCACCCAGACAAAGCCTCAGCAGGGACTCTGGCTTTTGGGGGCCTTGGAGGTTGGTGAGTAGGTCACGGATGGAGCAAGCTCTGCCACTCTCTGCCTAGACTGTTATCAGTCCAGGCAGAAGGCGCTGCTTGAAAAAAAACCTGTACCATAAACTTTTAGAGTCCCTTATACATATTCACTCCTTTAATCTTTACAACAACCCTATAAAATGGTTCTTATTGTTATCCTCAGTTGCAGATGAAGAAACTAAGGCACAGAGGTTATGTAACTTGTCCAAGATCAGAAAGCTTTAAGAAATAGTACTAAGAATGAAGGGCAAGCAACCCGGTTCCATAGTTCAAGTCTTAACCACTGCTCTCCCTTGCTTGAGTAGTGGCTCTGCCCCTCGTCCCCAGGGCAGCCATACTCTAGTGGCAGGAACAAAATATCTAGGGGCAGCATAAGATGCAAGAGGCACCAAGTACTAAAGCTTACAGACTACTTTTTGGAGAAAAGGTAGACTCCAGTTGGCCCAAAGGATGGGTGTGGACAGATGAAGGGGAGATGGAATGGCGCGTTAGTTGAAGGTCAAAGAGCAGAAACACAGGTTTGTAGAAGGGAATGAGCTAGTGTATTTGGAAGAAGATGAAGACTAGAACAACAAAGAGGAAGACAGGTGGCAGCTGGGGAAGTGTGGCTGTAGCCAGAATAGGGAGCCACCTTATACCCTTTATTGGCAGTAGAGGCTAAGAAGTTTTCATTTTGTACTGATCACAGGAAACCACTGAGGGCTAGCAATGTACTGGGTGGAAAACCAGTGTAAGGGTAAAGAAGCCACAGCAGGGAGATGACACACCTTAAAGGGGATGCCATAAGCCTGAATGTTAGAGACAAAGTCCCACAGGAATTCTCAATTGTTTTCTCTAGAAATAACTGATCAACACCCTCCTGTTCTAAAGTTACCACATGACCCAGCAGTTCTACTCCTAGTTATACATACCCAAGAGAATTGAAAACATGTCCATAAACTTGTACACAAATGTTCACAGCATCGTTATTCATAAGAGCCAAAAAGTGAGAACCACCCAAATGTTTTTACAATTGGTAAACAATAAACAAAATGTGGACTATCCATACAACGGGACAGTATTCATCCACAAAAAGGAATAAAGTACTGATACATGCTATGACATGCATGGACCTTGAAAGCGAGTTAAAGAAAAGAAGTCGGTTATAAAAGGCCATATATTGTATAGTTCCATTTATATGAAATATCCAGAATAGGCAAATCTATAGAGACAGAAAGATTAGTGGTTGCCAGGGCCTGGAGGATGGAGTGACTGCTAATGGGAACCAGGTTCCTTTCTGTGGTGATAAAAATGTTCTACAATTAGATAGTGGTGATGGTTGTACAACTCTATGAATATACTAAAAGTACTGAAATGTATACTTTACAAGAGTGAATTTTATGGTATGTGAATTATATCTCAATAAAGCTGTTATAAAAAACTCATTGTTTGATTTCCTTGTGCTGATGACTAAACAAACAAAAATTTCAATCTGGTGCTGAAACTTACCTTGCGTGCTACTTGTTGAAACCGTCTTTGGGCCCTGAACCTACTGACCCAAGTATTATTAGTGAGTGGATCAAAATTAGGATGAAATTCCTTGATTTCCTGTGAACATAAAGTATAGGCACATCTTAATTTAAATTTTAACTCCTGGCATAAGCATTTAATAAAATTGTTTTAGAGTTTGATCCAAAATCTAGTTATTATTTATTTGTTCTGCCATATAATAAGCATTTATTAAGCACTTTGGGTGTACATAGTATCATAAGGAATACTTTTTGGGTTGAGGGCCAAAAGTGGAGCTTTGGGTTTAATGGAGTTTATAGTCTGGTTAGGGAAGCTGAAGCAAACACATGCAACCCTGAGGAAGGAGAATAAGGTCACACAGATCTCAGTCCCATGTGCTGGGTGCTGGCACTGTATTCAGAATGGAGGGGAACGAACTGTATGATGCCTAGTGGAAGTGGGAGACTGCTTTGCTCAGGACCAGCACAGTGCCTGCATATACCCCCAGAGATCCTGGGGGTGTACTGAAGCCAGACAGAGCGCCTCAGCCACCGTAGATTCTTGAACAGGGAAACAATATGAAGAAAAAGGCATCAGAAATGAATTAGTCTCACACTGGCACATGCAATGGGCTGGAGAGGAGAGAGAGGAGGGGCAGATATATGAACAAACCTTCTGTTGGATTAGTTGGGTGAGACATGAAGTTTGGACTTGGGTACGTATGGCCTTGTGAAAGAGCTACGGGTAAGACTTGGTGGCCAGATTAAATGCGGGGGAGAAGAAAAGAGGTAAAAATAATTCAGATATGGCAAACTCTGGAAAGAAAAGTGAAAATGATGAAGGTGGAGGTGGGGGATCAGAAAGAATTTTTTTATTGTTAAAATTAAAAATTGGAGTTTGACCAGAAACTATCACATGACAGTGGCTATTCAGGTGGAGGGGCTACTGTTCCCATTTTACATTTGAGGACGCTAAGGCACCAAGGCTCAGAGGAGTTTTCCCAGGTCCCAAATCTGTGGAAAAGCTGGGACTGGAACTCTGGTTTCTGACTTCGTGTCTTGTTTCCTTCCCACCAAGCAAGAAGGGCCAAGGAACAGAGGTATAGGGACCCACCCTGAGGACCTGCAGACAGGGCCATGGAGGGCAAAGGAACAGAAAAGGAAACCAAGAAGGAGAAAGTAGAGGGGTGGGAAGGAAAAACCAAAGTACTTAGTGTCATTAATATCAAGGAAAATATGAATTATGAGTTTTGATGCTTTACTTGCAAATATGTAAGAAAAAAACACTCTGAAAATGTAAGCATATTAAAAATGATTAAATATCTCTTGCTAAAAGTATTTTTTAAATTGTTTAGTATTTTTAAAGTGAGCATATAAAGATCTCCCAATAATTAGATTCTAAATAAAGGAAAGTTACCCACTTCTAGACTGCGAACGACCCGTTTGTGGTTAACTTCTGTCTTCAGTCGCTGAAATTCCTCATCCAAAACAGGATCTCCTCTATCTAGCTGGATTTTTTAATCATCAAAAATAATAAAGTTGAATATAAATACACAAAACTTTATTTTTCTTTAAAACTGCTAGAAACCCATTATGTGATCGGCCAAACCCACCCAAGAAGTTTCTGTTGTAAGTGGTGGCAAAAGTAGGTAAAAATGATCGTTACAGTTATAGTCACTGTTTAAACATAGGGAGTTTTTATAGAAGCACAAACTCAATACCTTCTTTTTGTAACTAGAGGAGAGTGTCTGGAAATTATTCCCAAGGCATTTAAAAGTCATGGAAAGGATTTTAGAAAACGGTGTAACCATGGGAGTATAGTGATTTCATTTAAAAGAAATATAATGTCCCAGTGAAGTTTTAAGCTCCTCAGAGCTGATGATCCAAGTATTATCAGCTATCCAAGTATCTACCTTCCCAGGCGGTAGAGGTTGAACTGGTTTGCCCCTTCCCTGGAGTGAGTGTCCCCCAAGCTGCTTCCTTTCCACGGTCTGCTTCCCCAATGCCCCTGAGCTCTTCCCTCTCCCCAGGAGCCACTGGTCACTCCCAGGAGAGGCCAGCTGGGCTTGGATAAGTGTCTACACATGCCTGCCTCCATGAAAAAGGGGACCACGCATACTGCAAAAACTTGTTAGTTTTTGTTTATCTGTGGCTTTTATTACTTGCTAGATAACTTCCACAACTAGCTTGGCTCTTAGGTACACTGTTCACAATTACTTTTAAAGACTTAACTGGAAGTAATCTATTCTGGTCACCACGTAATCACCCTATTCAGAAGTAAGAGTTATATTATTGTTGCCAGGGTGATGAGCTGTCGAGCTCTGATTTGCACATGTCAGGAAGTTGAGTTCAAAACTGCAGACCTTAGGTTCAAAATACAGGTTTTGTGGAGAGACATCCAGACCACCCCTCAACACTAAAAGTAAAATAAAACAGTCAGTTTAAAGAAGGGATTGGCAAATAGGTTGTTAGCTGGAAGAAAGAGGAAGCAGATTCTTCATATCTTTATTAAAACTTTACTTATTTATGAGGAACATTTCAGAATTTGGTATTGTCAATTGTCTGCCCTGAGTAAAACCTCATCATCCCTGAGGGTTTGTGTCATCCAGCGATAATGCTGACTCCCTCCACATCCTCTCCCTCTCTCTTTTTCTAGCCTTTCTGCCATATGCCTCGGGCTTCTAGGTGTTCCTTGTCACTGGGTAACCTGCCAGGATTCAGCTGCCAGATTGTCTCCTGAACACGCAGAACAGGGTCCCTGAAACACTTGCTCTCCAGCTACACTGTGGCCTCAGGGTGGCCTGCTCATCCTTCTATTTATCCTGATGATGGTAAGGATGCCATAGCTCCTTTCTTGCTCATTTCAGTATCTTTTGAAAGCCACTCTCCAGTCCCTGTCTCCCACGGTCTCTGCAGCTGACCCTGCTTCCGGGAAGATAAGGCCACATGCATCTTTCAAAGGCTCTCTCTCTCTGCATGGCAACCTGACTTATACCCACAGTCCTTCCTTCTTTGGCCTTCGCCAGTTCTTTCTCCTATTTAAAGACAATCTTTCCCTCTGATCATGGCCTCTTCCCAAGCTCTTTCAACCTTTTCCTCTGTGATGGCTCAAAACACGCTCAAGTTCTTCCAACTTAGGAACCCCTTCTTGACCTCTCACCCCCCTCTAAGAGTCCATCCATTACTCTTTGTCCCTGCTCATCTCAACTTCTCAAGAAACCATCTACTCACTTCTACACATTCCTCGAGCCATTACAATTTGTTTTTTTTTTTTTCTCTCTTGAAGTCTATTGGAATTGCTAACACTGAGGTACACAAAGACCTCCAAACGGCCATATCCACTGTGTCCTCTTCAGGCCTTATTATCCTGGAACCTTCTTTGCCCTTGACTGAACCCTCCATGTCTGCTTTCCCTGTGTTCTCCAGGTTCCCTGACCTCCCTTCTCCTCTGTCTCCAAGTCTTCCGCTGCCCTTCCCTTAAATGATGACGTTCTCTAGATTTCCTGCCTTGAGCTACTGCTTTTCTCAAGCTATTTATTTTCCCTAGGTCACCACACTTGTTCTGTGGTCTCAGTCTCTACTTATGCTGATCACTCCCAAGTCTCTGTCTCCAGCTCAGACTTATTCCTTCAGCTGCCACTTGGATGCCCTCTAGTCACCCCAGATGTAACATGCCCTAAATTAAATCACCCCAGATGTAATGCGTCCTAAATTAAATTTTTCATATTCCTCTTATGCCAGTTTGTCTTCCATATTTGAGATATTATTTAAAATGACCAAGATGCACCCAAGCTGGAAACCTAGGAACCACTCTATCTTCTCCCTTTCCTTACCCCTCCTTTCCAATTTATCTACAAGTTTTAGCTCTATCACTGCATTCAGCATATTTTACATCATCTCAATGTTTCTGCACTCCTAATGGACTGCGACCTTCTTGAGGGCATGGACCGTGGCTTATTTACCAGTACAGAATCTTACATACGATGAGCATTTCCTAAATAGACTTTCCAGATGAATACATGGTTGGGTTTTTCTGTCAATCACATGCTGGTAATTACAGCCTTAACTCACACATTGACCTGGTTGTGGAATGTCTGTATCACCTTTGTCTTTAAAACAGTTAGAAAATCTTCCATTGTGGGGTTGACAGAAAATATTTGATATTTTGTTTTTAAAATCATGTGCAAAGGGTCTGAACAACATACCAAACTAAATTTAAATGCCAATCTAATATGTGCCTTTCCTAAATGCTAAGATTTACCAATGTAATGGTTTTACATTCTTTTGTTTGTCTGATGAAAAATTTAAAAGGACAAATTTATTCAAGTATCTGATTTGGATTCCAAATCTCAGAAGAAAAATGTATTCTACATGAGAAATATATTCATATCTGACAAGATACATTGTTTTTCCCAATCCCTCCTACCCAGTACTGCCATACTGTGTGTAGCACTGAGAGTGGGAAGCTCACACTCTCAAGCTTAAATATATGTGTTATGGCTGAATTGTGTCTCTCCGAAATTCAAATGTTGAAATCCTAACCCCTCGTCAGGAGATACGGTTTTTAGGCAGGTAATCAAGTTAAAATGAGGTAATTTGTGTGAACCATAATCTAATGTGACTGATGTCCTTATAAGAGGAGGAAATTCAGACATAGAAAGAAGACAATGGGAAGGCACAGGAAAAGATGGTCATCTATAAGCCGAGAGAGACCTCAGGAGGAACCAACTCTACTGACACTTTGATTTTGGCCTTCCAGCCTTTGGAACTGAGAGAACATAAATTTCGGTTGTTTAAGTCACCTAGTCTGTGGTATTTGTTATGGCAGCCCTAGCTGACTAATATAATAAATGATCCTACCAATCAAGTCCAATCCCCTGTGACACAGAGCCTCTACTGAGTCCTATCTCCTCTGACCCGTGTGTCCTGTGCTTCAGCCACTATGGACCTGTCCCCAGTGTTCTCTGCACCTGCCCTGCATGTAACGATGTCTCACACCATGGTGAACCCAAAGGTCTTGCAGAGCCCCAGAGTCCCCATCTCTACTTGCCCCTTCCTGAACCTACAGGAGCTGCCTTGGTGACCTAGATGTAGCCCACCCCCTCAACCAGTTTTCTCCTCTCTGCTCAGCCCCTTTGAATGTCTCTGACTTGGAATTTTTTGTTTATATCTGGCTCTGGTGTGGCTCTCAGTCACTGTCTTTGGGTCTCTCTTACCTTCTTGCTTTGCAGATCATGGGACAGGTACACTTCACACTCAGAGTTCCAGCCCAAAATGGAGGCATTCCTTCCCTCTCAATTGAATGCCTTCATTCTCTTTATGACTTTTCAAAATTATACCATGTCTTCCAGGAAGCTTTCCAATTAGATAAGTTCTCTTTCCTCTCTGGCTTCTGAATCCCTCCCCGCTATCCCAGTACTTAGTAGAGGTCTCTTGTGACATTTACAGACAGCCTTGATTTACAGTCAATAATTAACTTGTCATCAACTTTTTCCCCTCCCAACTTGACTAGTCTTAAGTTTTTTTTTTTTTCTCCTGATATGGCAACTTGCATATAGCAGGAATTCAAAAATAATTAGTGAAATAAATGATATCAAATTCACAGTAATTCTGACCTTGTATTTGGCATTTACTCTTTGCCACTCTTCAGCAAGGTCTTTTCTAAATTTAAAAGACACAGGATCTTTACCAAGGCGCACCCTCCTGGGGAGAAAAAAAACATCCAGAACTCATCAGAATACAATAGTTAATTTTAGGATAGAGTATCTTAGCTATACTCTACAATTAAAAAGGGATGCTGAGATATTGAAGGAGACTCCATGTGGAGAGAAGTTGTAGAGACTTCAGCAACATCACTAAGATGAATTATGTGTTCTACAAAAGCAAGTTTATCTTCTAGTGACGCATGCTGAAATATTTATAAATAAAAAGTCTGGATGTTCAACATCATTAGGCATTAGGGAAACACAAATCAAACTATGAGGATGATGATGGTGATGATGATAACAAAAGAAGATAGCTGGTATTGCCGAGGATGTGGAGAAACTGGAATGCTTGAACATTTCTGGTGGTAATATAAAATAATTTGGCCATGGTGGAAAACAATTTGGCAGCTCCACAAAACATTAAACAGAATTACCCCATGACCAAGCAATTCCACTCCTAGGTGCATGCTCAAAAGAACTGAAAAGATACAGTCATACAAAAACTTGTATATAAATGTTCATAGCAGCATTATTCACAATCACCAAAAAGTGGAAGCCACTCAAATGACTATTAACTGGATAAATGGATAAACAGAATGTTAATACGTCCATAAAATGGAATATTATTCAGCCATAAAAAGGAACGAGGTCCTGATAGATGCTATGACATGGAAGAACCATGAAAACGTGTTAAATGAAAGAGGCCAGTTACAAAAGGCCACATATCATATGATTCCATTTACTTGAAGTGTCCAGAGTTGGCAAATCTATAGCGATAAAAAGCAGGTTAGCAACTGACTGGAGCTGGGGGAGAGGGGAATGGGAATGCCTGCTTAATGAGTATGGGGTTTCCTTTTGGAGTGATGCAAATATTCTGGAATTAAGTAATGCTGATGGATAGACAACATGTGAATATACCTAAAACCTCTGCATCGTACGCTTTAAAATTATTAAAATGGTGTATTTTATGTTTTGTGAATTTTACCACAGTTTAAAAAACTCTAGTATATAATGTATTTATCATGAAGCCTGGCACATGTTCAAAATAAGTAGTAGCTCTCAGAAGCTAAGCAGTGTCGGGCCTGGTTAGCACTTGGATGAGAGACCACCTAGGAAGACCAGGTGCTGTAGGAGTAAAAAATAAAAAAATAAGAGATTGTAACCTGACAAGGTACTTGCAAACTGTGAGGTCAACCAAGGGTTGCCTCGCCTAAAAAAAAAAAAAAAAGTAGTAGCTATGGTTTTAAAAGGGGAGGGGATTTAAGGAGAACTGTTTTAGTTTAACGGAGACTAAAGAGACCTGAAAACTAAATACAAATTACACGATATTAGATTGGACCTTGGATTTTTCCTCTTCAAAAACCAAAACCAAACCAAAACAAAACAAAACTGAATATAAAGGACATTAATGAGCAACTGGGTAAATCTGCATATAATTGATTATTATAATATTACTGTGTCATTATTAAATTTCTCAGATGTGATTATAGTACTGTTAGTGAATGTCCTTGTTTTTAGGAGCTACGTGCTAAAGTCTTTAGGAACAAAGCTTCATGATATCTGTAACTTACTTCCAAATGGCTCAGGAAAAAAAGGTTTGTGAGCATGCAGGTATGTGTGTATGTGTGTGTGTCTGTGTGTCTGTGTGTAGAAAGTAAGGGGAAGTATATGTGGCATAATGTTAATAATTGCTGAACCTACATCAAGTTATATGGATATTAACAGCAGGTTTAAAATCTTTCAAATAAAAAAAGTTGGGAGAAAATATTAAGTGAATAACACAGCATTCAAAATTGAATTTAGGATGTGATTTCAATTGTGTTACAAAGAAGCACAGAAGAAAGGAAATACACCAGGGTTAACAGTGGTCATTGCATCTTAGTGAT